CCCTGATCAGAGTTTACAATATTCTAGAACATTCTATTTTTCTTCTCCCTCCAAGGGGCCCTTAAACCTTGAGGAAGGGGCTGCGTGGCTGCTCACTCCAGCAGCATGGGCCTGGGACCCAGCTTGGCTAAAGCAGCTCGGGGTCTTCAGACCCTTCTTGCCACCTGTTCTGACTGCACCTGGGGACCTCCTGGCCCTCGTGTGTCACATTGTCCCTGAGAGAAGGGCTTGAAGAAGGCTCGGGACTGGCCTCCAGAGTCAGGCAGTCCTCTGTGTTTGCTAACTAACTATTGGACCCTGCCTCGTGGCCTTTCCTTTCTCCGGACCTCCATTTCCTCATTTGTAAAGTGGGACTAATAATACTGGTAGTTCCAGATTTATGATGGGGTTCTCTTCCCAGAAAAACATCGTAAATTGGTTCTAACCTAAGTCAACTTCCTTTTCTTTTTTAAATTTTTTATTGTTATTGCCTTTTATTATCAGTATCTTTTTTTCTCTGAATTTTATCTATTTTGTTGTTGTTGAGAATATACCCACAAAACTTATACCAACTGAACAGTTTCTACACATATGATTTAGTGACATTGATTCCATTCTTTGAGTTGTACAGCCATTGTCAATGTCCTTTTCTGAATTGTTCCTCCCTCATTAACATAAACTCACTGCCCCCCAAGGTTTCTATCTAATCTTTCAAGTTGCTGTTGTCAATTTGATCCCATATAGATCGTTCTTAAATGCTCAAGACAGACCTTTTTTACTAGCTAAACTAAACTATTGTGTGGTTTTAAAATGACTTCAGAGGATGTTTTTGGTTTAAGGTTTAAAAATTATCTCAGTGCAATAGCTCCAGAGGTTCATCCACCCTCCATGGCTCTAGAAAGTCTAAAGTCCATGAAAATTTGAAGTTCTGTTCTGCATCTTTCCCCTTTTGATCAGGATTCTTCTACGGAATCTTTGATCAAAATGTTCAGTAATGGTAGCCAAGCCCCATCCAGTTCTGGTCCCATGCAGGGGCCTAGCAAGGATAATGAGCACCCAGAGGCAATCTCTAAATTGCACCCCTCCCAAATTCCAGCACCCAGGGGCAATCTCTAAGTTGCAACCCACTCCAAATTTCAACATAAATAGATGTTGACAGTGGTGAGGAAATGGACAAGCCTAGGGCACCCACAGCCCATGTGCGATTTGCTGCATGCCAGCATCCAAGTCAGCAGGCAGGCTTGACAGGCGAGCTCCCTGGGCTAGTGGATCATCCCGGCAGACACTGAGAGCCACAGCAGCGGAGAGCAGCACCGAAACATGGCTGAAACAGGCGCGGGCTTTCTGGAGCAGCTCAAGTCCTGCCTAGTTTGGTCTTGGACGTATCTCTGGACCATGTGGTATCACCCCCTCTGACAGTGTCACACAGTTCAGTCTGCACCACCCACGCCCCTCTAGTGACGCAGCTCACCCTCCTCTGCCCCTGCCTCGCTACAGCCCTGGTCTCATGGCGAAGGAGGCAGTTGCTCATAGAGGCAATTAGCCACACATTCCATTGTTTGCTGTTTTTAAGTGCCACCTAGTTGGTTCCAACAGAATGAAACACTGCCTGGTCCTGCGCCATCCTCACAATCATTGCTATGCTTGAGCCCGTTGATGCAGCCACTGTGTCAATCCATCTCATTGAGGGTCTTCCTCTTTCTCAGCAACCCTCTACTTTACCAAGCATGATGTCCTTCTCCAGAGACTGGTCACTCCTGATAACATGTCCAAAATACGTGAGACGAAATCTCACCAACCTAGCTTCTAAGGGGCATTCTGGCTGTTCTTCTTCCAAGACATTTATTTGTTCTTCTGGCAGTCCATGGTATATTCAGTATTCTTCGCCAACACCATAATTCAAAGGCATCAATTCTTCGGTCTTCCTTATTCATTGTCCAGCTTTCACATGCATATGAGGCAGTTGAAAACACCAAGGCTTAGGTCAGGCGTACCTTAGTCCTCAAAGTGACATCTTTGCTTTTTAACACTTTAAAGAGGTCTTTTGCAGCAGATTTGCCCAGTGCAATGCATCGTTTAATTTCTTGCCTGCTGCTTCCATGGGCATTGATTGTGGATCCAAGTAAAGTGAAATCCTTAACAACTTCAATATTTCCTCCATTTATCGTGATTTTGTTTATTGGTTGAGTTGTGAGGGTTTTTGTTTCTTTATGTTGAGGTGTAATCCATACTGAAAGCTGTAGTCTTTGATCTTCACCAGTAAGTGCTTCAAGTCCTCTCTACTTTCAGCGAGCAAGGTTGTATCATATGCATATGGCAGGTTGTTAATGAGTCTTCCTCCAATCCTGATGCCGTGTGTTCTTCTTCATATAGTCCAGCTTCTCGTATTACTTGCCCAGCATACAGATTGAATAAGTATGGCGAAAGGATACAACCCTGACACACACCTTTCCTGATTTTAAACCATGCAGTATCCCCTTGTTCTGTTTGAACGACTGCCTCTTGGTCTATGTATAGGTTCCTCATGTGGACAATTAAGTGTTCTGGAATTCCCATTCTTCTCAATGGTATCCATAATTTGTTATGATCCACACAGTCAAATGCCTTTGTACAGTCAATAAAACATAGATAAACATCTTTATGGTATTCTCTGCTTTCAGCCAAGAGCCATCTGACATCAGCAATGATATCCTTCAGTCCACATCCTCTTCTGAATCCGGCTTGCATTGCTGGCAGTTCCTTGTCAACGTACTCCTACAATCGTTTTTGAATAATCTTCAGCAAAATTTTACTTACACGTGATATTAATGATATTGTTCGATAATTTCCACATTCTGTTGGATCACCTTTCTTTGCAATGGGCACAAATACAGATCTCTTCCAGCTGGTTGGCCTTGTAGCTGTCTTCCGAATTTCTTGGCATAGACAAGTGAGTGCTTCCAGCGCTGCATCCGTTTACATCTCAGTTGGTATTCTGTCAATTCCTGGAGCCTTGTTTTACGCCAACGCCTCCAGTGCAGGGTGGACTTCTTCCTTCAATACCATCAGTTCTTGATCATATGCTATCTCCTGAAATGGTTGAAAGTCCTCCTATTCCTGACTCTTCTTTCTCTGTTGCTCCAGGTGAATAGAGACAAGTTGTGCTTTGGATGGCTGACTGTAAGCTTTTAAGACCCCAGGCACTATGCAAGGAACTAGGAGGTAGAAAGGAAGCACTAAACACGTTATTAGGCCAATTAACTGGGATATTATTAGGGGCAAATTACCTAATAAGCAAAGTAGGCACAGGCTTAATTGTGCTTACTTACTAATCTATAGTGCACAGTTTCACACAGACTCACACGTGAAGCTGTGCACTATAGATTAATAAGTAAACGATTAAGCCTGTGGTCACTGCTTACTGTAAAACCAATGTATCCAGTGCTTACTGGTTAATTAGCCCCTGATAATGTCATGTTATCAGTATCTTTATAAATCTGATCTTTGGACACCTGTGACTGAACATCGGACAATGAGGACATCAGTAAATTACAAGCTGTAACACTGTATGTAGCACGTTACTAACGAAAAGATATTAAAAAAAGAAATGGCCACAAGTGCAGTAACTCGAATGCTCATAAATCCGAGGGCTATCTGTTATAAAGGAAACCCTGGTAGCATGGTGGTTAAGGCGCTCCTTGGAAACTCTACGGGGCAGTTATACTCTGTCCTATAGGGTGGTTCTGAGTCAGAATCGACTCAACAGCAACGGGGTTTTTCTTTAATCTGTAATAGTACACGTCCCTAGGGTTAAGTGAGTCATTCACCAGCAGTGCTTGGCACACTGTAACCCACTTGAGTGTAGTCGTTATATATGGGGCCTTGAAATGCTGCCATTTCCATTCGGTGGACACATTTGAGCCGCTACTGTATGCTCAGCACTGTGATGGCAACAGGACAAGACCAGAACAGACACTTGAGTGTCAGCAGGATGGCCAGGCTGTCAGCTGTTGGAGGGTTCTCTAAGACACCTGGTTGGGACCTATGTCACCCAGACCCTCCTGGCCCAAGAATGTCCCTTCTGTGTCCTTGATTGTCTACCTACAGCCCACTCCCTTGGAAGAGCTGGGCCTGGCACACACAGGCAGTTTCACAAAGGACTGAGGAGAGAAAGGCTTTGAGTGAGTATTTGCTGATAATGAAAAGAAAGGAGCGGTTGGTTCAGGGAGACAGGCGGGCCCCCAGAGAGCTCAGGCTCGGGCGGGACCAGCAGACAGGCCTTCCCTTGGTGGGGGAACCCTAGAAGTGAAGGGGGACCCCACAGATGGGGGACCGCTGGGGGCACAGAGGAGGGTGGGGAGTGGGCTTTGCTCTGCCAGCCCCAGCAGGTGCGACCCCACTGGGCTGTGCGTGTAGGAGGGGATCTGTCTGGAAAGAGGAAAGGGGGGAAGGGTAGAAGGAGGTGGAGGGCGTAAAGGAATCTCCTGTCTGCTTCTGCCCACCTCCCAGGAAAAGTCTGCGTGAGACCAGAAGGGAATGGTGGGGCCCTCGGGGCGCCCGTGTGAGGCGGGTAGGGAGCGGGAACGCCGCGCCGTGGCCGGGAAGGGCCAAGGTCCTGGAGGAGGCTCCCGCGGCGGTAACCTTCGGGGCGCCGAGGTCCTGACTCAGTCACTTACTGGCGGGGCGGATGACCTGGGGCGGTTCCGCGCGCCTCTTGAACCTCGGACTCCGCCTCGGAGAAATGGGGGCATCCCTGGGCGGCAGGCCGGGGCGCGAAGGGGTTAAAGTACCTGGGCGACTGCCCCTGGGCCCCTCCCCGCGCGGGAAGAGGAAAGTC